GACAGAGCTTGGGGAGAGAGAAGGAGAGTGATGATCAGAAGGGTGTTTTAGGGAGATTAGAAGATATAGAGAAGCAAATTGAGCCAAAGATTCATAGTCCTTTTCCAGGTCGTGAGTCTCTGTTGAAGAAAGTGATGAACAAGAAGAAGATTCAATAACAATCTTTCTGTTTGTGTAGCTATAAAGGCAACTCCTTTATGAGTTTGTGTAGAACCCTAAACCCAAATCTTCATGATCAAGAATCAGCCAAAGAATCAAACTCAAGTTTCCAATTTTTTTTGCACAATGAGATTGGTTTTAAAAACCAAGACTTTGAGTGTGCATGCTTATTTCCATTTACATTCCAAATAGCTGCATGATAATCTTAGTTTTTAAGTTGCAATAGGATTATGTTTCCAATCACAAGAATGTGAGAATCATCACTACATCAGAAAAAAGCGCGCAAGTAGAAACTTGAACCGTCAATTGTATAGAGAGAGAGGCGGTGTTTTAAGCAACGGGTGGACGAAGGACATGGTCTTGTGAAGTATCAACTGTAGCAGGAGGCATGAATTGCCACATTGCAAATCCAGGGTAAGTTGTGTAAGGGACAAGCTTGCTTCCAGGAGCTTGTGCTTGAGTGAGTGTTGATGGATTTGGTAAGAAACAAGGTTGAGGTAGAGGTAGAGGCTGTGTCTTAATCGCTTTCAGTTGTTGCTCGATTTTCTCCTTTTCAATCTTCAGCTCCTGCATATTGGCATATATAGCATCATTGGACACTAAAGATCTTGCGGGGATACAGCGCCGAGTTTTCAGTTTATACCTTTAACTCCTTGATTTTCTCCTTGAGGTTTGAATTCAAGTCTTTCAATTTCTGCGCTTCGTCTCTTGCTTGATTCACCATGCGAATAGCGTCATTTAGAATAGCAACCTTATCTGTTTTTGGAGGTCTCCCAGGTTCCATTACAGAACTCAATTCCGTAAACCTATTGTTTAATACACAATACTGAAAAGATTAAGAACTCAAAAGGATAAAAGAT